TGTTTTTAGCACAGTATATGGTCTGTTGTAAGCATTCAAATGTTTGTAAAAAGAAGAGCAAATTTTTAAAAATAGATTTTTAATGATTTCAGAGAGGAAGGGAGAGAGAGAAACATCCATGATGAGAGAGAATCATGGATTGGCTGCCTCCTGCACATCCCACACTGGGGATCGAGCCCACCACTGGGGCATGTGCCCTTGACTGGAATTGAACCCGGGACCCTTCAGTCCGCAGGCCAACGCTCTCTCCACTGAGTCAAACCGGCTAGGGCAAGAGCAAAAATTTTAATATGTCAAACTCAAGTTTTAATTTGAAAGTATTATATCCTAAAGCTCTCTGGATCCTGGCAAGTTAACATTAATTTTAAAAGTTTATTGTTGACTCCCTTTCCTATTGTCCATAATTTTACCACATAAGTGTCTTAAGCGCCACCCAAGACCAATTCTTAAAACTCCCTCCCGTGGCTTTCTTGGTGTGACAACCTGGTCTTTTTCTTTCTCAGTCTCCTCTGCTGGCTCGCCTTCCACCTAATCTCTCCGTTGGCGTTCCTGGGGCTATGTCCTGGCCCCTTTCCCTTCTCACGCTCTCATCTCTCAGTAAGCAAGTCATCCACACCCATGGCATTAATTAGCCTCCCTGTCCTGATGACTCTCCGATTGACATCTCCAGCCCAGGCCTCTCTCCTGAGCACTGCACTTCCACACACAGCTGCCTGTTCTACCTGGTCACCGGGGTTTCACGGGATCCCAAACTCAGCAGGTTCAGAACGCCCACTGTTTTCTACCTGAGGGACCAGGACCTCCATCTATGAAGTTAGCTAAAGCAGAAACTGGAGTCATTAGTGACATACCTGCCTCTCCTTTACCATCATCTGCGATTGGCCAGTCTTCTGACACTACCTTCTAAATACTCACTGCTGGCTTTTGTCTGCACTGCCACCCAAGTTATCACCTGACTACTCCAATGGCGAGACTCAGCACCTGCATCCACTTGATGCCTCCAGTACCTCTGCACTGCTGGCTGAGTGCTCTTGGAAGATTCATTCATTCATTGAAAAATATTTATTGAGCCCCTACTATGTGCAGTTTGTGACCAAGACAGGCATGTCCCTGATCTCCTACAATTCTACTTAAGAGCATATGATTGGGCCCAGGCCGGTGTGGCTCAGTGGGTTGGAGCATCGTCCCGGACACTGAAGGTTGCTAGTTTGATTCCTGGTCAGGGCACATACCTTGGTTGTGGGTTTGATCCCCAGTTGGAGCATGTACAGGAGACAACTGATTGATGTTTCTCTCTCTCCCTCTCTCACTCTCTCTCTCTTTAAAGTCAGTGAAACATATCCTCGGATGAGGATTAAAAAAGAGAGAGAGCTTGGGGGTAGGGAAAGTTTCTTTGAGTAAATAATTTTTCATCTGAGATCTGAAGAATGACTTAGGAATTAATTAGGCAAAGAGAGGTCAGGTGGAAGCAAAAGAGCATTTTAGGCAGAAAGAACATCATGTACAAAGGTCTGAAATCAGGAAGAAGCAAGATATGAGAAACTGAGGTCAGGGAGTGAGGAGTAGAGTGCAAGCGCTGAGGCTGGAACTGCCGGGCACAGCCAGGCTCTGTGGGGGTAGTGACTCTAATGGGGAGGGATTCAGGGGGCTCCAAGGCCCCTTGGAGCCCCCTCACATGGCCTGCTACAGTGAAATGTATAAGAATTTTCTTCCTTCATCCCCCCCCCCCCCCCGTCTCTGTTTCTTTCTCTCTGAGCATTTTTCTGAGGAGAGAATGCATAGCTTTCATCAGGGTCTTCCCCCCCCCCAATATATTGTTATTGATTTACGAGAAGAAGGGAGAGGGGGGGAGAGAGACACACATCAATGATGAAAATTCTTGATCAGCTGCCTCCTGCACGCCCCCTACTGGGGATTGAGCCCTTGACCGGAATCGAATCTGGGACCCTTCAGTCTATAGGCCAATCCTCTATCCACTGAGCCAAACCAGATAGGGCATCGTCAGGGTCTTACAGCCAATCTGTGATCCTCTCCCGCTCTAGAAGTGTAGAGCCTGTGATGGTATGAAAGCCCAAGGTATTGACTCTGGACTTTATCCTATAAGCCATTGGAAATTATTAAGCCAAAAATGGACAGATTGTAAAATCGACGGGGCAGGGACTTTTATCTCTTTAGCCACTGATGTGCCCCAAGCACCTAAAACAGTGCCATGCACAGAACTGGCACTCAGTAAATAATTGCTGAATGAATGAATGTCTATTGTGACTATTGAATTATATTGTACTAGAGGCCCAGTGCACAAATTCGTGCACAGGTAGGGTCCAGCCGGCCCAACCCGATCAGCCTGACTGGGGATGGGGCTGGCCAGGGGGAGGGGCCACGGGCAGTTAGCCAGCCGGCCTCACTCCCCAGGTCAAACTCCCAGTCGAGGGGACAATTTGCATATTAGGCTTTTATTATATAAGATTGCATTATACTGCAATCATGTGCTTTATGCTTCTCCCTTATAAGAGTCAATTCTTGATAACGACTCTGTCTTATTCATCTTTATATTACTAGAGATAAGATACTAGTGCCCAGCACAATGCCTGGCTTAAAATCAATTTCAAAATGCATTAATTAATTCAGCCAATAATTTAAGAGCACCTACCAGATGCCAGGAAGCCGGGAATAAAAAGATGACTAATATAGTATTAGTAACCTCAATGATAAACAGTAATAAACATTCAAACCAATTTTTTAAAGTAAGTGAATAAAGAAATGGGCTCATTTAAAAGGAAAGACACTTTCCAGTGCTTTTTAAATGCTGCTACCAAGTCAGCTAACCGTCCAGTGGTGCTTAAGGCAAAACCTGCTCTTTGGCTTCCCAAGTGGAGAATAGTTAGCAAACCAAAACTGGAGAGGAGGGAAATGCCTATACCAGAGAGCATATCTCCCGGGCTTTTTACAGATAGTCTATATACGAGAACACTTTAAACGCTACCTGTTTAAAAGAGAATATGACATGCATTATCAATCATTTGATGATCACCGATGTTGCTCAAATCACCCAGATCGTCTGTCTAGCCTGCCTGATCGCTGGCCCTTAGCTTGCCTGGCTGCTTTGGCATCAAATGTGCAAACTCAGTACATGGGAATAACACTTGGAAAACGTTGTATGGACAAATTTGTTGGTTTATATAGTTCATGTAGTTTATTCACCTATGTTAGGAAGTGTCCCCTGACGGATCACATACTTGCTTTTGAATCCACTAGTTTTCTGTAAATTACTGAGAGTTCCCAGGCCTCGCTGGTCTCCTTGAGGTTGTATACATTATTTAAATTATCGCCATTAACTCACTGCAGTAAAATTCTAGTTCTGAAACTTATAATAAAACTCAGGTTTACTTTTGAGCAAAGAAGAAAAAGAGAACAAAACTATTAAACCATCAGGTCAGTTTGTCATTTAAGGATTTGTAGGTCCATTTTCTTTTCTTCTCAATGTACCCAGAATTGATAGAAATAAGGATAATTTCATTTGAATGAAAAGCACACCCAAGCAATATTTCTAGGAAAGCGAATCTTACCAAGTTCTTTTTCTCACAACCACACTGTAACAAATAAAGAAGTTGGGTTTGGGGTTTTTATGTTGCTATTTCCCTTCCTTTAGAGCAGACCGGTTTAAACTTTTACATATCTAAGCAAAACACTTATTTGGTGAGCAGCTCTATTTATTTTCTCAGAGTTTTATTGTCAATGTCTTAGTTTAAGCCAAAGGGAATTTGTGGTTTCTGAGATCAGAATTTCAACTGCTTTCTAAAGCTAAAAGAAAAGTTAGTGATTACATTAACCATTTGTAGACCCAATCTTTGATTCTAAATGGTACTTAAATGTTTTATTGACATCCCCACTAGTTTGTAGTAACATATCAATAATAATGATAACAACCTATATCTATAACAAAAGATAAAAGGATAATGTTGGAACCTCGAGTAGATATTCTGACAAATCTTACTTAAAAATACTTATCTTGCCCTGGCTGGTGTGGCTCGGTGGTTAGTGTATTGGCCCCACTCACTGAAGGATCATGGGTCTGATTCCGGTCAAGGGCACGTACCTGGGTCGCAGGTTCTGCGCCCTAGTTGGCAACCAATTGATGTGGGTCTCTTACATGATGTTTCTTTCTTTCTCTCTCTCCTCTTTCCCCCTCCCCTCTCCCTTTCACTCTCTCTAAAATCAATGGAAAAAAATATCCTCCAATAAGGATTAACAACAACAAAAAATACTTGTCTTATTCTATTTTCCTACCAAAGAAAGAACAGAGGACATGGAAAAACCTTTCCTCCATCTAGTGGCTAGAAAATATAAAAATATCCTCTATGTGTTTCCTGGAATTCCAGGCATCAGACATTGTCTGACAGATTATAATTCATCCAGTTGTTCATTCAGTTAAACAAAAGTAAGTTCTAAAATCTTGACCAAGGCTGAGCCCAATGGAGAACTATATACCAATGATGACTCACTAATCAACTTCCCTTTAATCAATAACATACACTTCAAGAAGAAAGGTGGTCTGTGGTCCTTCCCAATTCATTAGTCTGAACCCCTGAGAGGAAAGACCGGCTGTATGTTTCTGCTACCTGAAATTGGGACTGAGATTCTGTTCGCCTCTACAGCAATCAGTGCCCTAGATCTGTCCTGACCCTTAATTGCTCCTTGTTGGCCTCACACCCTAACAACTCTTCCCTCAAGAGTTAGATGTGCCGCATTCACTAAAAAGAGCCAAGAAGCTGTCCCTGAAACTGGCTGCCTCCAGGGGACCGCGGCTCCTGAAACTTGGAATAGCAGACTCTGATACTGGCAGCGGGGCCTCTGTGCAGGGCCAAACTGGCCCACAGGAAAGCAGGTTTGGATCCGTTATGCAGCTGTGAGGATTAGTGCTGGGTCTGCCTGTCTTGTATGTCCTTGTGCTCATGTCAAATCCTTTGCTGAATGGGGCCTCTCTCTGGTGATTCTCACAGGTTCAGAGAACGAATATTGTGTTTGGTCAGCAAAGCTCCGAGAGCGCCAGGAAGAAGAGGAAGGTCAGCGAACCATTGGAACGCATCACCCCAGAGAGCAAATGAGACAGAGGCCTCTGCTACGTCTTTCCCCAAATAATTTTGTTTTTCAACAAACTACATGAAGTGTCTTAGTAGGAGAGTAAGTTCCTGTCATCAAAACCTTTTACTAAATTTGTTGTTCAGCTTTCTTAGTCAGTTTATAAATTACGAGGTAGGACCTTTGGCACAAGGAAGCATGGTCACCAGGGCTGCCTTGGGCTAGCATTGCTTCCAGAGAGATTTAGAGATGAGACACCTTCCTATTTATAAAGGAGCCACAGCGGCTACGCTGAGGAGAAATAAGCCGTTGTTCTCAAGAGAGAGAGGCTTTTCTTTGCATAATCAAACTCCCGGGGTACTTAGACGACTGTGAAATGTTCCAACTTGTTGTAACCTGTGCCCTGGAATCCCTCTATAGCTTTACTAGAATTCCCACAGAATTGCATAGATGGATGCGGTAGTGCTTACCCAGGTGTGAGTTTTGTGTTCACGTCAGTCACGAGGTTGAACAGCTAAGTGTTGGACTATCAAGTTCTTCAAATCTGGCCCCGGGCCCTGATCTGTTGGCCAACCCGAGGCTGGGGAGGAGGCTGCAGTGCAGGAGCCTGCTCCCTGCTAAGGCCTGTGCTGAATGCTTCCCAGCAGGCCCTCCGTTTACACATCAATCTGGAACTTGCAGATGATGTTACTAGTTCCCCCTTATTCTGGAAGAATGTTGATAGAGGTCATAAATTATAAATGACTTAAAGTGTTATTTTTATTGTTATATAACGTGGGGTTTAATTTAAATGGACAGAACCAATAAGTGAAATGTATAGGTTAAATACATTTAAATAAATGTATTGGTTAAATTTACTGGTTAATTACAAAATGCAAGGTCTTTCTTGCTTGGCTTTTCTTCTTCGCTTAGATTAATGTTTCTCCAAGTGCAGTGAGAACACCAGCACCTCTAGCGCTTGTGAAAACAGAGTTTACAAGGCCCGCTTCATTTCCACGGAATCCAAATCTCCAGGGACGGGGCCCTATGGAAAACTCCCCAGATTCTAATGTGCACACAAGATGGAAACCCTGAAACCTCTGACCCAGACTAATAGGAGCATCTCTGGGGCCAGACGTGCACTTCAGCTGGAAGAAGCCTGTGCTATCGTAAGAGGAGAATCCGGGGAGCGCCCCTGTCCAGCTCCGCCCGCCCTTTGCCAGGCTCTCATCCGTTTCTGACCTTCCACAGAGGGGGGGTCTCGAATTGGGCTCACACCAGGGCTCACACCCTGCTATGGGGGAGCACTCTCCCTCTCCCTGCTTGTGAAGTACCCTCACAGAAGCTTGCTCTGCCACTAGAAGGAGAAGGAGGGGAAAGGTATTGTGTTTATTATATCCTTGGTAGAACTGTAGCCTGAGTCACCACAATTTCTTTTAAGAGAGTCGTATAAGGAGCTTAGCTGTCTACCAGAGGGATTAGGTTTATTGTGTATCTCTCCGGAGGGTAGATCTAACACCAAACTATTGAAAGCCACAGAAGGTCCATTTGGCTCAGTATAAGGAGGCACTTTTTAAGGCTGTCAGAATTTTGCAACGGGCTGCTGCCTTATGAGGCATGAGTGCCCCTCCGTAACCAGTGTTTGACTCTCAAAGCAAAGCAGTTCTATGGAACAGTCAGCCTCGGTCTCAGAAGGAACCATTTTGCTTAAAAAGAGAATTTAGCTCTCAATCTGTGTTTACACATTTCATCAACGTAGCCTAAGGTTGACAGATCCTGTAAGTCAAAGTCTAGAACAGCCGTGGGCAAACTACGGCCCACGGGCCGGATCAGGCCCGTTTGAAATGAGTAAAACTAAAAAAAAAAAAAAAAAAAAGACCATACCCTTTTATGTAATGATGTTTACTTTGAATTTATATTAGTTCACACAAACACTCCATCCATGCTTTTGTTCCGGCCCTCCGGTCCAGTTTAAGAACCCATTGTGGCCCTCGAGTCAAAAAGTTTGCCCACCCCTGGTCTAGAATCTGAATCTCTAGAAAAATTTTATAGTGATTTTAGTGTCTTTGTTAACACCCCTTTCCCAACGGAAGTCTTCTGTCGATGCCAAGAGGTGGGAAATGTATGTCTAATGCAGTGAGTGTGAGGCAACAGAGAGAAGTTGCTGGGCTATGCCCTTGGCTGGCTACACAGGGAAGGAGATCTGTTATCAGGAGGCCCTGAGAACCACGAAAATGTGAACGAGCTGATTTTACATAGCAGAGCTGATATACGCAACCTGATATCAAGATTGGAAGGTATTCAGTTTTATTTACTGAACGATTTACTACAGGGATAAAAATCTTTTCTCCAGTCTATTCATTTCTGCCCTTCATAGTAACGAAATGAGGAAACACAAGTTCGTCAAGAAGCTGGAATTTCAGGGAAAAGAATGGCATCGGGGACCCCGAGCCGGGGAAGCTGGGCCACACTAGCCGTTCCCTTCGCCCTGGCTGCGCGTGGCTCGTCAGTGTGATTGCGAAGATGAGATGACGATGGCCTAGAAACTGGGACATTGTTCAATTAAAAATTATGCAGGGGAAATTTGACTTCGGCTGCTTGGGGTTTTTCTGTCTTTACAGAAAGTTGGTCTAGCTGGAAAGAGATGGGTTAGGCTCAAAGACTGCCGCCGGCCTTTGAAGCCAGGCACCGAAACCGCACCTTCATTTCCCCTCTCGGGTCCCGCTGGTTCTTTCATTCTCCAGCTCACCTCTGCCAGGAAGAGGCTGGAAGTGAAGCTGACGTGTCACCAGGGCCAAAGTGGCACACACACAAGGTCAACGTCGTGTGTGTGTGTGTGTGTGTGTGTGTGTGTTTTTAAAAACTAACGTTAACCGTTAGAGTCAGTTTTCATTGTCTTAAAATGTTCAATTAATTTATGGTTTCAAACCCAGCAGTCCTGGCTCCTTAGAGGTTTCCACAGATTCTGATGGCAGAGAGCATCCTTAGTTACAATAACCATCATTCAGGAGGAGGAGGAGGAGGAGGAGGAGGAGGAGGAGGAGGAGGAGGAGGAGGAGATGATGAGGCTGAGCACACACTTCTTGTGGGAGTTAAGGTGAGGTCCTCCACCACGTATGATTCTAGCTAGACTCTACACTCATGAGACAATCCCTATCTTTGTCCCAAATTAGAAATGATTCGTTTCTATTTTTAAGAGTGATTCTGTGTTTGCGTAATGAGGCCCTGGCTGAGGCTTGCTCTGCAGCTGTCCGTTTCTGTAGAGGATGAGGGCACCACTGCGGGCCTTGATGGGCCCTTCGGTAACGCATTGGAAAGCCAAGACCCTATCCAGAAACGGGGAGACTGGAGGTACTAATCCGCTCATATAACTTCCCCTTGGATGTACTACATCTTTGCAAATGGGTGCACCTTCTGGGAATGTCAACATTGTTGAGACGGACTCCTGTAGGATGTGTTGGTCTCACAAATACTGCTCCCTGACTGTGTGCGTGGGGGGGGGGGGGGCGCGGGGGGGGGGGGTGCGGGGGGCACGGGGGAGGCGGGTGCGAGTAGACTGATCTCAGTCTTACTAAACATTTTAGTCTGGTCTTAACTTTGCCATGAGGTTCAGCAGTACAAGGGTTTCCCCAGAGCAGGAGTGGAGAGGCAGGCTGGTTAAGATAACCCCAAACATCTAAGACCGACCGGGAGCGCATGGAGCCTTCCTTGGGGCCTCAGAGCCGTAGGGATAGAAACCTGGAACAAGAGGGGACTTTTGGGGGGCCTTTAGTTGGATATGGCTGGACTCCCGAAGGCGGAGCAGTCTGGGGGACCTAAGGTCCATTGGGATGATTACTAATCCGCTCGAGGCTGAGCAGGCAGTTAGGTTTTCACCTTCCTTTTAGCCGTGTGGTCAAGAAAAGGCCTCGGTTTCTGGCTTCAAAACCTGACTGCAATTTTCTAGACAATGTAGAAATCCCCTAGTCCTCATGCTACTCATTTGGGAACACGTGGATTATAACGACGCCTCCCTAGCAACCCTGCCGTGAGGCTTACGCGAGGCAATTCATACGAGCTGCCCAGCACGCATCTCGTCAGTGCTCAACAGATGTTCATCATAATTGCTCTTTTTTTAACTCGGCCTGTCTTCTTCCTTAGTCCCAGGAGCTCGGGACCCCTGTGCTGCTTTTGCCTACCCAGAGATCCTGCGTCCACATCCTCTCCTACTTGGCCAGCGCTAGAGCATGCTTCCGAGTGCCTCTGCTCTGAGCACTCTCCCCACTCCTCTCCCCACATCCAAACTCCCCCTCCCTCGGGACAGTTCGATGGACTGGACGGGAGCATCAGATTAAGCTTACTGTGCTGCCCTCCCACACTTGCATTTTCCAAACAGAAGCTTGTTAATAAGAACAATCTCACCTAGGGAATGCGATATAAGGAGAGATTGAGCCTGGCCGGTGTGGCTCAGTGGTTGAGCATTGACCTATAAACCAGGAGGTCACGATTTGATTCCCGGTCAGGGCACAGGCCCATATTGCGGGCTCAATCCCCAGTGTGGGGCGTGCAGGAGGCAGCCAATCCATGATTCTCTCTCATCATTGATGTTTCTCTCTCTCTCTCCCTCTCTCTCTCTCTCTCTCCCCCTCCCTCTCCCTTCCTCTCTGAAATCTATCTATCTATACATAGATAGATAAAGAAAATATTCAAATGCCAACTGAAAGACTCCAGTACTATTGAACAAGATCAAGGGAGAGAAAAGACATCCACAGTAGGTTAAGATCAATGGGTTTGTCCAGGAGCCTGGGGGCCGGGGGCGGGGGGCTTTGCGTGACTGGCAGCCGGTCTTCAGAGGCGTTAGTCGCGGGCAGAGCCTCATTCCCTTTCCTTCGGGGTGCACACCCGCCACCTGCTTTCTTCTAAGAAACTGTAACATGTGGCGCTCGCTCTCTGCGTTAGAGAACTGGTGTGGTCAGGCCTTACTGAGAACAACCAGCTCTGCCTACCCATGGGTCCCAGAATGTGCATGTCATTCTGAAACCACAAGGAATGTGGTTAAGTCCCCTGGCCACATCTCTCAACAAAGCTGTGTCTGTTTCGCTCGGCCTCCGGAGAGCTCTGCTCCTGGACCAAGATGGTCATTCCTAGCGAAGTCCACTAATGGGCCTTCCCTCACGAGGAGCCCTGGGAAGGAATTCATTACCGTGCAGGTTAGAAACTTCCTAACGAAATGGCCCCCCAGCCGTAACAGTGAGAAAGCAACCACCAACCACCGACCGAAATCATAATGGAGCGCTCCCCTGGGGGGCAGCCATCCATCGGCTTCTAGAGAGAACCCGGAGCCTCGGAGACAAGAGAGACAGACAGTTCTCGGGCCCCTCCTGCAGGCACTGAGATTCTTGTGGAGCAAAAGTGAGATTTGCCTGGTTAAATGGTTCACTGAACCACAGGCTCCAGTCAGAATGAACTCGGCCTTCAGGACGGGGCGCAGGGGGAAGTTTTATTATCATCATTAATGAAACTCATTTATGATTGCAGGACACACAGAAGAGTCATTTGCATGCCACACACTCTGAGAGATCAGGGTGATGACACACTATGTAAAGTGACTTTGAAAACTTACAGAGGTTGCAAGATGATAAAACACCTTTCGCTGTTTTGCTCCTGCTTGAATTTCGTGTTTCTTAGAATGGACCGGCTACATGGAATCTAACCTCGTTCTAAGCCACAAGCCTAGCAGTTCCAATGGAAACTGTTAAACCAATTCGGTAACGAAAAGATAAGTCGCTTCAAGCTGCCGGGTATCAGTATTATTGTCATATTCCCTTTATCAAAAGCCGATAACTGAAATGTATAGGTAAGAATTTACAGTAAGCGGCAGTACTTGGAAACTTGTCAGTTAAGGTTTCGCATTATAGAAGAATGTCTGCTGTAAGCTTTTTAACCCTCTAAAGTCAAAATTAAAAAAAAACAACTTTCACAATTAGTTTCTAAGGAAATTTTATAAAGGTCATGGCACTAAGAGGAGAGCTTTAGATTGTTTTTGCCAATAGGACACCGACTCCCAAAGAAGAACCAACCTGTGTGTTTTTCTTGGGGGGCGGGGGGGGGGGGTTGTTTATAAATAACAATCAAAATTTATTTTCTTGATATTTTTCTAAAAAAGATAGTTAACGCAATCATTTTAAAGTGACTTCATTTCCTGCTGCTCCCCCAACCTCCTTAAAACTGAAAATACAACAAATATTTGCATAGGTTTATTATTCACATTTAATCATGAATAATTCACTTTGTACAGACAGCTGGGTAAACACGAGATTTGGAGCTTCCTTCTTCTAGCATATTTTCCCCTGGGCCGAAAGGAAGCAACATCGTGTGGTTTTCAATGATTTTCAGTGCCACCTTGTCCTCCTCCCCCAACCAGGAGGCACCCGCCTTTGGGGCTGTTTCCTTTTTTTAAAAAAAAATTCTTTCTGTCAGTGCTTGGGCTACACCTCACCAAAACGTTTCTTATTACAAAATGACAAATGAGCTCAACCGTTCGGCTCTCTCGGCCGGCAAGGCGACAGGAAGTAGGCTTGTGGGTTTGCTTCCGTGTAGATTCCCTCCTAACGCTGGGAAAAGGTCTCCCTGCGCGCCTTCTGCCTCGTCATTCTATCCTTCGTCTCCTATCAGCCAGGGACATTTCACAATGATTTGATTATCTCCCACAACGCCGGCTCTCACTTCCCTCTGCTCCTCCCAGGCCTACGTGAGGAAGCGAAGCACGTATCACCCAACAGGCACTTGCCCAGGGCATTCCCACCTGGCACCTGGGCAAGGGGCATAGTGTACCGGAGGTCAAGGGTCCTTTCAATTCTGCGA